AAATTCGTTACTGTTACCAAAAAAATGTAACTTCGTTACCGTTACAGTTACCAAAGAAAAAAAGTAACGCAGTTACTAGTAAAGTTACCAAAAAAGTAACTTGTAACTGTAACTTCGTTACAAGTAACGAGTTACTTCCATTCCCTGTATAAAATATATACCTGATTTTCCAAACGCGATACTTGCTGACGATGGCTCTGTTCTCTTGCCTCTAATAATTTCTCGGCTTGCAATTGCGCGGCTCTGATCCGTTCTAATTCACCGCATCTATCTCGACTTATATCCAATAACGAATGAGAGGAATGCGTGTAAGTTGATTTCACGCGTATAAGTTCGGCCTCTTTCTCCGCTAATTGAGTCTCCAATTTGCGTATCTTCAATCTCAGTTCTCTATTTTCATGCTCCAAATTGTCAAGACTATAACTAGTGCCCAAGAGTTCTATATGTGCTTTCTCTGGATGTTCATAACTCTTACTTCGAATACTAGTCTTGCTCGCAGCAATTTGACGTTCTAAATTACGTTTGTCAGCTTCTAACAACTTCACCTAATTATAAGATATATTTTATAAATATAGAAAGTTCAATTTTTTTATATATAAGATCTGTTCTTTGTAGATTAAATTAGTGTACACTTGTTGGACTTAAAATAAAATGAATATTTTGAAGTTTGATAAATAAAAGCGAGATAAAACATTTTAGTGCAACGACAAAGAATACTATTTTCTTTGATTTTTGCAATATTTGTCTACAAAGCATGCTTACTTTGTCGTTGAGAGCCTCTATTTTTCCTCTCATCTCACTCCTTTCTCTTTGAGCAGTTTGCAATTGACGTAATAGGTCTTCATCCTTAGTCGCACTACTTTCTGGTGGCCACGTAGACAATCTTAATTGCGACTCTAAAGCTGATCGCTGTACTTCATTATTGGCTAGCTCATTCTGTAGCCGTACATTTTGATCAATCAGTGATTGATTGGTATGCTTTAAATTGCTCAAGGATTGTTGAGCCGTTTCCAAGCGTTCAGATAATATTCTACGATCATTTTCGGTATTCGAAAGTTGTTTCTGTAGCTGAAATAAGATAGTAGATTTACAATTTGAGAAAAGAGAACCTTCCATTAACAGTGTCTTACCTGTTTGAGCTTCTCGTTGTTACTTTGAGAGGAAGTAGTAACCTCCATTACATTCTGTCGTAATAAATTTATTTCACTCTTGAGTTCGGTTTCCGTAGCAGACGCTTTTTCTAATGATAGTTTTAATTGTTCTATAGTAGATTTTAACGAGGCGCAACGTTCTTCTAAACCTGCCATGGTACGACTTTGCGTGTCAAAGCGGTCCTGTAATTTCTAAAAAAAAACATTAATAAAGCATTAATAAAATTTACGTTTTAAGTTCTAAAAACTATCGAAGACATATTGGTTCACACTTTACTTTTATTGATAAATGCGTGCATTTAGCATGTAATTTATTTTACATATACTATAAAATCTTAAAAATATATATACGCGTAATTATCGATAAAAGTGAGATATGAATAAATTCAATAAATCATTGTCTTTATAATTGTCATAATTAATGTGCTGATTCAAATATTACGCTCTTATTAAAATACAGATTACTGTAGGCAATTAAAACGCTAATTGAAAGTATTTCCATCTTACTTGAATATGCGCTTCTTTTTCTTGCAACATCATTTGCAATCTTTGAAGATCGCCGTCTAAAGACATTCTGTGCAGTTCCATCTCTGTTGCTCGAGAATCGCTGTGACGAACTTCTTTCTGAAGATTACGCTTTTCTGTTTCCAATCTGTTCAATTCTTGTTTTATTTTCTCTAACTTATCCTAAACAAACGCAAAATTATATGCACTGAGAAATTGTATGTAGCGATTGTGAGAGTGTTTCTTCTAGATTGTACCTCGTACTGGGATTTCTCGTCTGATTCGGCGCTTATCTTTATCTCCAAGGTTGTAAGCTTTTCGCATAATTTTTCGCACTCTTCCGTCTTTTGTTGAAATGCAGCCAGCTAAAAAAATTAATGAAAATGTTAATTTTTTTTCCTTAGTAGAATACAAGACACGTGTCTATATTCTACTAAGAAAAAAGATACCTGTGCTTGATACCCAGTTTGTGTTTGAGTTAGTTTTGCTTCCACAGATTTTTTCTCTTCTTGAAGCATGCGAATGTTAGTCAAAAGGTTGTTGACTTTTACATCTGTGCTGCTTTGATTTTCTTGAGATTCTTTCAATTGTTTCTTTAAACTACACAATTCTGTTTTGTAATCGTCCTGTAATATTAAATCATTATAGATTTTATTATAATCAATGTAATATACACTTATACATACATTACGGAAAGAACAATATTGTTGAGATATTTAAAATTTTAGCTAGTTACAGATTTAAAAATAATTTTTAAACTATTAAAATAATTATGTTGGATACTCAAACTGGTTGCTAGAATATCAAAACTTTTTGCAGCATTCCTAAACGTTTTAATAGCCCAACAAAATTATTTTCAAATCTGTATCTAGCTCTTTAGATATTTCGGCAAAATTGTTCTTTTCATGTAATCGTCAAAGCCAAACGTACCCTCTCGCGTTCAATTTGGGCAACTTGTTGCATAAGCGATCGTACTCCTTTCCTAACGGCTTCGGGATCAACATCTAGTATAACATCTCTGCTAGTGTCACCATAATCTTGCGCTTGATCAAATTATGTTATATATGTATTAATTGAATTTTATGTACTGTGGAATAATAATATATTATAGACATATATCAAAATAAAATTTTTTCTTACCACGCACTGGGCTCCATCTTCTCGAAGGGCTCATCAATTTAAATGGCATATTTACGCTTCCGTCCATTTGAATACCGGCGATACGGCGGAGCGTGGAACCTACACTGCTCAATTTCTGTTCTACTTCCTTTTTAGCAGTCTCCAATTGCGATAGTTGCGCGTCAAGAGCTCTTACTCTGCCTTCGGATCCTCCAAGGCGCGCCTGAGATTAGAAATACATTTTTTACCCTAATCAATATTCCAATGAACCTGAACATTTTTTTTCAGTTATGTTGTGAAAAATTATTTATAAATGCTTTTCAAAATTTTAAATAATTTTAATATAATTTTAAGTTATATAATCTTATTCCTTGGATTTTGATCTTTAAAATGAAAAAAAAAATTGTTCAATTATGTTAACTTAAGCAAAGATACATTAATGTAAAGTACACTGGACTCGCGAATATCAATTAAGGTTTCAGAGCGAAAATACATCTCCATCTTTCTCGAAAATACCTTTAGCTCTTGAAGTTGCTGCGTGGCGTCGGCCAAGCAAACCTCTAGATTATGTTTCTGATCTTCCAATTTTCTTTCGCGACAGCGGCTATCCTCGAGCCGTACCAGCAACTCTTGCTCTCGTGCACGCCATCTTTCATCCTCTTCATCCGCTCGACCACGTAATTTTCCAAGTTCTTGTCGCGTAACTTCCAAACTGTTATCCAAGTCGACTACCTGCGACAACAAAATTCATCATATTGACTGAAGAAGTGAAAAATGAAGAAGACTATGCGCATTTCTTCACCTGTTTCTTAACTTGATGCAATTGTAGTTGTATTCGCTCTCTCTCCTCAATCTCGTTAGCCAATCTGGCCTGCAGTTCCTTCTCTTCGTTTTGAGCTTGAGCATTGTTTTCATGGCATTTCTGCAGCTCATCTTGCGTGAAGCGAAGTTGCTGCTGCATTTGTAATGCTTCGCGTTCCATGTCGCGTACTTGTGCTTGCAGACGTGTCCTCTCGACATCCATGGTCGCTTTTGCGTCTTCCAATGCTAAACACGCATATTTTAACAGCTACTCTGAATTATCAAATATGTTTATATATCTACGAAAAAAAATAATACCGACTTGCTATTTTCTGGTATGACTCCTCCAATGTTCTTCCCTGTTCCCTTCTTTCGCTCTCAATTTGCTTAACGTGTTCCCGCAATTCCTTGTTACTGTTGTTGTATTTTTCTTTCTCATACATGGTATCTGCTAACTGTCTTCGTACGTCAACTAAGTCTTTGCGCATTGTCTCATTAACGTTGTCAGCTGCAATAAAATAATAAGTTGATTAACTTTTAAATGTTTTTTTAATTTGAAAACCTGGATTTTTTCTAATGCTTTTCCAATGCTTTTTCCATTACTTATAACGTTTTTTTATTAATAAATGTACATTTGCTTGGTATCATTATGTTTCTTTCATTACTTTGATTGAAAAACATTTTTACAATATGTCCATTTTTATCATAAGCAATCGAACATCCAAGTGTGTTGTTCCCGTAGTATAGCGGTTAAAGGTTAATGTCTATTTCTACCAATGTAGATAAACTTTAATCTGAGTTTTATAGTTTTTATCTCTTTATAGTTCTTTTCTAAGAATTAGAAAAACATAGAGACTAAAATAAATCGAGATTAAGTTAATATACATTGGTAAAATTGAACATAAGACAACTACAATCGAGAAATGGAACTTTGAGGAAGAAATTATATATTACCATCTTTGAGTTTTCTAATAGTATCGTGTAGCTGATTTTGCAATCCATCAACTTTATCCTCCGTCATGTGTAGTTGAACTTGCAATTCTTCGACCTCTCGCTGTGTGGATTCCCGTTCTTTCCAGAGCTCTTCTATTTTTAATTCAAGCTTCATCTTTTCTTCGTTAGCCTTCAACTTTGTCTCGTCTAGTTTTGTTTTGAGACGATTTAATTCATTACGGAGTTGATTTGTATTATTTCGTTCTTGTTCGGCACGTGCTGCGGCCTCCCTCTTAACACGTTCTAAAGTGTTTTTTTCTTCTTCTAATTCACGCATAATAGTATCAATCTTTTCGATTAATGCCTGTTGGTCGTGATGAGCTATAACAAATTTAAATATATTTAAATTATATTGATTCACAACATTGTTGTATACTAAAAGTATTTTATAAAGATAATTAAGGCTTGATTAAGAGTATTCAATTACATACCTATTAAAAGTGCCTGTTGTTTATCATTTTCGGCTCTAAGAAGTGCTTCCTCATGCTGCTTACACAAATTCTCTATGTGTTGCTGCAACTCTTCTATTCGTTGTTGCAACTGATTGATTTCTTCATTTTTCTCTCCCTCCACTTGTGATAAAGATTGTTGCAACCGTTTCTCTAAACTTATTCTTACTTGCTCCTAAAGATAATAAACAACGAATGAAGGTATTATAGAAGTAATATGATAGAAAATCTTAAAATTCCATAAATAATTAAATACTTTTTCATCGTTTATCTTCTTTATGCTATCTTCCGATTGTCTCTTCATATTAGATATAATTTGTTGAAATTCTGCGATCTGATCACCACTCTGTTGCGTAAGTGACTGTTTGATGTCTTGCGCACGTTTTTCACTATTATCCAATTCTTTCGTTAGTCGCGTTATCTGGCCTTTAAAACTTTCTTGTTTTATTAATAACTCTTTTTGCTCCTTCTCTAACTGTGTTTTCTTAACATGCGTAGCTTCCAAATTGGTTTGTGTGTCAAACAGTACTCCTTCTAATATTTCCTTCTCAGTGCGCATCGACGCAAGCTGCTCTTGCAATCTTTGAAATTCCTTTTCATTTGTTTCCAAGAGTACCTGTATGAAAAATCTATCTTATTGTTTTGACATATCACTGTTTTGTTTCAAAAGTGACATAATTAAAAGAATAAGTTTTTCAGAAAAGGAGAAAACCATTTGATAAATTGACAGAAAATTATTGTCTAATCAAAAAATATTGTCATATTTTTTTAATTGTATCACTTTTGGCATATAAGAAAGCGATATAATAATAATATTAGTTAATTAATTAGCTATTAATTAATATTAATAGCTCGTGTATTAAGTTATCATTCTTGCCTGTTTTTCTTCGTTATCTTTCACAAGATCTTTCAAGTTTCTGTTTATTCGTGCATTCATTTCATTGGATTGTTCTAATCTTTGCCTAAGTCTCATGAGCTCCTCATTTAATGTCTCTTTCTTTCGCGCCAAGATCGACAATTGATTACTTAAATCGCTACGTTCGCGAGTCACTTGACCTAATTCCATTTCCACTTTCTCCTTTTCTATCTCCAGAAATTTAATCTTTTCATTCAACGTAATTTTTTCAGATTCTATGTCAAGTCGAATTTGTTCAGCTTGCAGCAATTCTTTTCTCAATGAATTGAGATCACCTTGTTGATCGATGCATTGACTTGCAAGCTTATTTTTCTCGTCTATCATCTACAATAAATCTATAATTAATACCAAACATAGATTACTGATAATGTTAGACTTGATGATAATGTTACCTTTTTCAATTCTTCTTGCAATCTTTGCTTATCCTGCTCATGATTAGAGCACATCGCTTCCATTTTTATCAAAATTTCCTGTACATCTGATTTTTCCAACAGTATACGTTCCAATTCCAACTCAAGATCGCCTAATTAAATTATTTAGACGTTTATAATTTACTTGAAGGTTATAATTTGTAAATGGGAACATGGAATACCTTTGCTTTTTTCGATTTGAGAAATTAATCCATCAGTTTCTAACTTTTGCTGTTCCAACATGTCTTTGGCAAGATGAGCTTTATTCAAATCTTCTCGCAGTGTCAAAAGCTCTTCTCTCATTTTACTGCATCTATCCTCCTCCGAACGTAAACTTAATTCTCTGGAAATGATTTTATAAAAAATGTATGTAATAATTTATGACAGAATTAAAACAAATGATGTGGTACATAAAATGCTTATTAAAATCAATTTATTTACTTTAAGTCGGCATCTTCCGATATTCTACCAAGCTCATTTTGTAAATATAATTTTTCATCTCCCAAGTTATCACACAACTTTTGTAATTTATTATTGGTCTTCTGAAGTTTTTCGTAATTGTTTCTAAGAGCCTCCAGCTGTGACAAAAATTTGGTGAAATATCAATAAATATGCAAACAAAATTAATGAATACTTTAAATCCTACCGTGTTATTAAGTTCCACTTTATTCTTATCCAATACATTTTTCTCCAATTTTACAGTATCGAGACTTTTCTGCAGCATGTCCTTCTCTTGATCCAGCTGTGTGCATTGCGAACGGCATATATCCAATTGAGAAATCAATTCCGCAACTTTGGTATTTAACGTTTGAGCGTTTTCTTCCGCGGCATCGCATTGTTTACGCATTGCTAGGATTTGTTCCTTGTTCGTTTGTGATTTTATCTAATACAAAAAATTCGTAAATAGGGCATAAATCTAATCATACAACGAATAACGTAAAACTTCATTGTTTTTTTCACAAGACAATGTATATACCTGTAACTCGCGTATCGTTAATTGATACTTCTGCAGAGCCGCTCGTACCGCACTTAATGTACTTTCAGCCAATGCCGGTATAGTGTTACTTCGCGTGCTTCTTTTCGGCGATCTCTGCTGCATCAGTGCACTGGGTGACAGGTGGATATGTGGGGATGCCTGCTTAGCATCGGCGTCTCGGCTTTCAGCATCCTGAATCACGGCATGCGCGATGTCTCGTAATGCAGATTCTAGCACCTCAATATCTTCCTGCATACGCCCGGTTTGGGTTACCGCCGCCTCAGAAACGCTACATCTTTCCTCCTACGTACCGAAAAACACGCTGTCAAAATCTTATTACCAATTAATTCTTAGGTGCCACTTTATATGATTTTATCATGTATTTACCTAGATATTTTTAAAAATATCGTATAAAAATTGATATATTATTAACAAATTTTTTTTTAATGTGCCAGTCATCGAGGAATATAATGATAACAAGCAATTGTACGTATCTTTAATAAAAGTTATAGCATAACAAAGTAAAAATTGTTCGGTATGTTACACTAGGAATGGCACCGAAGGATTAAATTTGAAGTAAAATCGATGCTCACTAAATTGCGAATTTCTCGAATAAACTGATCTATTCGATCATCTTTAGTACGAATTTCATGTTGATAGGCAGCGTGTTGTTGCTTGAGTGCTGCAATCTCTGTTTTTAAAATTGTTACAGCTTGTTCCTCTTCCTGTTGTATTCTTTGGGACGGCTAAAATAAGACGTATAGGAACAACGTAAAATTTCCACAGCAAATAGATTATACACAATTATCACATAATTGTAGAATGGTCTTACTGTGGATTGCGCCGCACTCGCTTGAAGCTTCATAGTAAAATTCGTACTATTACACGCTGATGTCATTTCATTAGATGATGCAATAATTTCATTCCGTATTTTGGCCAAATCCCTTTCCGTAGTAGATTTCATTTCTGCAAACAATCTTTTAACAGAAACGACATCACGCCATAGGTTGAGTAATCGGTTATGCTCAGAGATGTAATATTCATTGAATGCCTGTTCTTCTTCTTTCCACTCCTCTTCCTTAATAGCCAACTCGTCTCTCAATATATCCCAGTCATTGCTTAGTTTTTGCAAATCATTGGTTAACGCCTCGTTTGTTTGATGAGATTCCTCGAGCTGATCCTTCAGAGACGCGTTTAATTGTAAAAGTTCCTCACATCTACAGCAGAATAAAAGATGTCTTCAAAATGTAGCACGATTCTATATACCTATTTGATGTAGGGATGCTTAAAATTAATTTATATCAGAAGATTAGTAAACTACGATCTTCAAAATTATTATATTTGGAATTTGTGGAAATTTCTTATTTAAAATAAAGTAATAATAAGGCTCAATATGTATAAAACAATTTAAATATTAAAAGGGCATAGAACCAGTATTCAAATAAACAAATTTAATTACAATAATAATATTACAAACGTTTCGACTCCGATCGGGTCATTTTCAATGTATTGTACATAAAAATATATCATAAATAACGGTTACATTTGTAAAATCTTTAAGAAATAAATAAATTAATTATAACATATCTCTCATAATGTCGCAAGCATAAACATATCATTTATATAAAAAGTGTAAATTGTCCAATATATCATAAATAATAATACTTATGAGTTAATTAGTAAAGATTCTACACGAAAAATTATAAACGATTTACGTAATATTCTGGTTAGATGGAAAAACAAAGGTTTCATAGATGACATGACTTATAGAAATTTACTTAGCACTGACGGTAATACTCTAATAGCGTATTCGATTTACTGACTCGACCCGACTCCGAATCAACAGTCTGTTCTTTTTAGCTGCATTTCTTGTATAATTTAGCTCTTCTTTTGCAGCTAAACAGAACAGACCATTGACTTGGAGTCGGCTCGAGTCAGTAAATCGAATACGCTATAAGAGCTTACGGGTTGACTAAAATTCACAAAACCAATTATTCTCTTAGAATCATAGTTTCATCTGTCAATAGCCCGTTATATAACTTATCACTATATTTACACTAAATTATGAATGATTCAATACTTAAAGCTCCAAGTTATATAAAAAATAGTGTTGATTTAATTGATAAATTAAAAAACATTAAACTTGAATCTAATTCATCACTAGTTTCATTGGACGTGGTTTCCTTGTTCACTAACACACTTATAGATTTGGCATCTGATAGTGTGGTTAGAAGATGGGAATCCATATCTAAGGGGACAAAAATTACTTTAGATGAATTTATGATAGCCTTTAGATTAATATTGAACTCGACAGTTTTTATTTTTAATGGTTTATTTTACAAACAAATTTTTGGAACTCCTATGGGATCCCCATTATCATCTATAGTAGCAAACATGGTCATGCAGGATTTCGAGGAAATTGCAATTAGATTATTGCCTGTTCAGTTATCTTTTTATTACCGGTACGTTATATGACGATATTATTTTAGCAGCCCCATCCGAAAGCGTTAATGACATCTTAAACAAAATATAAACAGAGAACAGGCTAATGAGAGTTTTTTCGCGGTAAGTCGTGCGAGCAAATGATTTATTAAATACGAAAAAGTCAGACGTTTCGGCTTACATTCGAGTCATCCTCAGTGTATCTGATCCATATACAATCAAAATTCTTAGCTGGTTAGATAACATCTTAAACATTTTTAACTCATTACACACAAGATTGCAGTTTACTATGGAAGTTGGCAAGGAAGGTAAAATAAGTTTTTTTGGACACTTTAATTGTTGTTAATGAATGTAATTTGATATTTGATGGCTACCGTAAAGCCACTTTTTCTGGCAGATTCCTTAATTTCCAATCTCAACGTCCGATCTGTCATAAGAGAGGAGTTATATATAGTATTATAGATAAAATAGTTCGCTTGTGCCATCCAACTTTTCAACAGAATAATTTGACTGATGCCATTAATATATTTTTGAACAATGGATACCCTCTTCAATTTATTTTTTCGACAATCCAGAATAGAATAAAATATCATAATAATATTAATGTGAATAATAATAACATTTTGTCAAATAAATTTTTTACTATTCCGTTTGTCAGTTCTATTTCTGAAAAATTTAAACCTATAGCTAATGTGGTTGATTGTAAATTGGCGTACACCATTCCCAACACACTTAAAGACTACATAAAAAAGGGAAAAGATAAACTAGTACATACAAAGAATCAGAATGTAGTTTATAAAATATCTTGTTAAAATTGCGAAGCAAGCTATGTAGGCCAAACTAAGAGACAATTAAAAACAAGAGTAAATGAACAACATGTCTCTGATATTAATAAAGGTTCAAAATCCCCTTCGGTAATTACTAATCACAGAATTGAAACGAATCATGATTTCAAATGGAATAGTGTAAAAATATTGGATATAGAATCTTCTTACAGAAAACGATTAATTTCTGAGATGGTCCACATTAAGAAACAAACACACGGTATAAACAGACAAAACGATACAGAGTCATTGTCCGACACGTATACGAATATATGATACATTCCCTTTCCATTTCTTAAATTTGTCACGGTTTCTGTCTTCTCTCGACATTCTGCCTGTACATTACATTACTTGACGATTAAGAGTGGTCGCGTAAATAAGTGCAAAATAGTTTAAACTTATAAAATGCAGTCACAACGCAATAACATATCACGGGATTTATTATATTAACTGACGAGGTAAAAAAAAACTTTTTGTTATATATTATGACAGGTTCTTTATATATAACTTTAGGATTCACCGAGAGGTTGGTCACGGAGATAATTTTTGTACAAAGGCTAGGTAATTCAGTGGTAATCCAAACGAAATTTTGGGTAATCCAATGTAATTTTTGGCAAGTCTAAATAATCTTTAGTGTTCTCAGGTAATCTTGTGTAATCTAATAGGAAATCCTAAGTAATCTAAGGGTAATATCAAATAATCTGTAAGTAATTTTAGGAATTCTTAAAGTAATCTCAGATAATCTGAGGTAATCTAAGGTAATCTTTGATTTTTTAGTGAACGTCATTGATGAGCATGTTGTATTTTTTTTACAATAGTATATACATTTTTAATCAATTTTTGGAATTGACGTAAAGGAATTGCTTTTTTATAATCTAGCTCTCAGGCTGTGGATACACAAGCGTTTAAAAATTGCGAAATTGCCATACTACTTTAAACAAATTTCTTTGCGTTAGGAAATTTGTCTAAAGTAAATCGTTTAGTTCCTTAAAACGGAATTCTCCCTCCCGAAGTGAACAATGATTTGCATTTATTTCCCTGCTGATAATGGATACAGATGGAATAATGCCGTTCAAATTGGCATGTAAAGTTTCATAAGTCAGGCATCCACCTATTATTCAAAACAAATTTTAAAGAAGTTAAAAATAACTAAAAATACAAATATATAAAAATTACGAAATACATCTCCTTATCTACAATGAAAAGATATGTGCAAAATCTTTTAAAAGATTTTTTATATTGATTATTCTTCGAATTCGTTTTAGAATTGTTGAGAATTGCTGTCTCAAAAAGACTTCGCCGTTTCATCGTACGCACACGCGACGCATCTAGCTGCCGAGAAACAATCACATATCGGAAACGCAGTCTTTCGTGTTTCGACACGTTTTCCAGTCTGTGCTTGATGTAAGTTGCGAGACGTTGCCCGCTCTGTTCCTGATACAGTTTTTGCTATTATTTTGTGGTTTTATTATCGAAATCGATCAAAATGGAAAATTCTGAACAATCATCGAGGGAATTACCTGCTGAAATCAATACGAAAAATACAGAATTGGTAAATTTTGACAGTAAATTAAAAATTTTGCCAAGTTATTTGATCGAACTGTTAAAAGAAACAGGATATTACACTGAAAGTTCTCTTCTTTCGATTCACGAAAAAGATATTGAAGAAATAGAAGCCTTTGCAAGAGAGCAACTTCATTTGTTAGTGGATAAAAAAGATTATGTCAAGTATTATGGTCCATTGTTTTCCAAAAAACCTGAAATGTTTAAAATACTAGGAGGATTTAAAAAGCAAATTTTCGAATTGTCCCAACAGTTGCAGAGAGAAACAAAAGCAGGTGATAAAAATGTAGATGATGGAAAGAAAATTAGTCATAAAAGAAAACGAGACGATTTATCTGAGGAAAACTCTGATTTAATCAAACGGACCAAGATAATAGATTTACATTTAGAAATGGAAAAAATTAAAAAACTTATACTGGACTGGATAGAGCAAAAAATAAGTAAGACATCAGATACGAATGAAAATTATTTATTGGAAAAAGCAAAAAATATGAAAATTAAAGTTGAAGCTGGGGATGAAAACCTTATTTTTGCTACGGTTAATTGTTTTCTTTGCAAAACATCTATAAAAATCATCAAGTGCAGTAAAAATGAAAATACGAGTACAAGATGGATGGTGAGCAATTTTTACAAACATTTCTTGAAGCATTTAAGCAATACTCAAAACGACACTTCGACAGCACCTCAGACTTCTTTTAAAAAATCATCCTTATTAACTTCTTATTTTTCAAAAACTGATGCTAATAAAAATTTGGATACTATTCAAAATAAAAAATCGAAACAAGAATCATCTTTGGAAACTTCAGTAATAATTCCAATCGAAGACACCGAAGAAACCGAGGAAAAAACAATCTCCGAGACTGTTGTAGAGGAAAATAATTCCAACTCAGATTCCGATACTGAATTGCCAAATTTTTAATAAATAGTACTGGAAAAAATAAGATGATGTGCAGTACTAAAATAACACCTTCAAAAAAATCATCTAGTGAAAAATATAGTTGACAAAATCGATTAAAAAGAAAACTACAAATAATATCCCCAAATCAAATGTTTATTACGCAATATTTTCCCTATCTTGATAAAATTTCAAAGATAGTCCAAGAAAATGACATTTTAAAGAAAGCATTTTTTGAGCATGCCGAAGAACTTCGATGTCTTAAAAAAAGTATTGCTTCGATCCCAAATAATATTGATGGTTTGTTAAAACAACTTTTTGAAACAGCAATTCTTAACAATACTAATAAGAATTCGAAAAATAATCAATATAAGGAATCTTTTAAAAGATTTTGCACATATCTTTTTATTGTAGGTAAGGATGTATTTCGAAATTTTTATATATTTGTATTTTTAATTATTTTTAGCTTCTTTAATATTTGTTTTGAATAATA